TCCTTGTTGTCTGTCGGCACTCTGCCATCCACTGTAAGTAGCTGGATACCTTTTTCTTTCACATGTCTTTTGCTTTGGATACGTCTGAGGAAGGCTTTCCTGTTGCTCTTAGCATCCCTTGCTATTCTCAGTTCATTTCCTGCTTTAGCCTTCCAGATGCGGTCCCTGCAATTCCTTCCGTATATTCTTCCTTTGTGGCCTGGCCCTGCTTCCACCTGCTGTACATGTTCTTTCTCCCTCCCTCTCTCCCTCCCTTCCTGGTTGTCACTTAACCTTATGTGGAGCCACGTGGGTTTCCTCTGGTGTCTTCTACACTTTTTTCTTGATGGAATTGTTTGTAGTTGTGCTTGGAGAATCTTCTTTTTCAAGATTTCCCACCTCCCTTGAACTCCTTTTCCCTTAAGCGGGAGTTGCCATGGCACCTCACGGATCATTGTTTTGAGTCCCTTAAAGTTGGCTTTCTTGAAGTCCAGGGAATGTGTTTGGCTGCAGTTAACCTTCATCTCCTTTGTAATTGAGAATTCAAGTATCACATGGTCACTTTCACCCAGAGTTCCCCTGGCTGCTATTTTGTCCACCAGGCCATCCCTGTTACCTAGCATTAAATCGAGGACAGTTGATCCTCTTGTTCCTTCCTCTATGTTCTGCTGGATAAAGTTGTCGGCAACACATGTCAGGAATCTCTTGGAGGGGCCATGCTTGGCAGAATTTGCCTCCCAGCACAGAACAGAGAATCTGAGTCCACATGACGACTACAACATTCTTCTTAGAAATGCTGGCAAGTTGCTTCTTGAAGGTTTCATCCTTGTCCCCTTACTTAACTTTGTTATGGTGTGCCATGCTGCACATCTCCCTCCCTGATGGTTTCAGTTTAAAGCCCTCCTGAGGAACTTGATTCATGCAGTGGCCAAACGCCTGCTTCCCGTTCTTTGTGAGGTGCAGCCCGTCATTTGCCAGTAGTCCGTCTTCCAGGAAGCTTAGCTTGTGGTCCCAGAGTCCAAATCTCTCTTTACGGCAGCACCTTCGTAGCCAGTCATTCACTTGGAAGAACTGTTCTTTCCCCAACAGTTGCTCTTCCACGTAGGGGAAGGATTGAGGAGAAGACTGTCTGGGCCCCAGTGTTTTTTATTTTTCTCTCTACACCTCGGGCTTCAAAGTCTGCTGTTACTTCAGAGAAGCTTCCCATGGCAGTTTCATTGGTTCCCACATGGAACATAAGGAAGGGGTATTTGCCAGTGGGTTGGCTGACTCGTGTGAACTCGCTGGCTATGTTTAACCTCGGCACCGGGGAGACAGCACGCTTGGCGATCCTCTGGGTCTTCACGACACGCGTTTTCTTCCACCTTGCGAGTCTCCCACGACGATCATGCTGCTCCTTTTGTTGCTGGCACCTTTTTCCTTCCTTGCTTGGCCCTTTGTCCCTTTTCAGAGTCACATGGTGTGCCGCGTAGCTCTTTCCCAGTGGGTTCTTCACATGCCCCTTCCTCAAGCAACTGAAGGCGGTCCGAGAGTTCCTCTGCCTCCACGGGTGCAGAGCGTCTTCTAGGTCTTCTGCGCTGAACTGCCACCCAGTTCCGGCGAGTTTCCTCATTTCCCTTCCCGCAGGGTTCGCTTCTGCTGCCTCGGCTTGCTGACACTCTTCTTGCTTCTGGGCTACACTTAGCTGTTGCAGCTCCTCCGCTCTGTCTAGGAACTCTTCAGTTCATGTTGTTTGTTCCCTGGCTTCTTTTCTACATTTCTTGGAGACTGGTGTTAGGCCCAGCTGGAGTTTCTTTCACTGTTGCAGTACATAAGCCTTTGCCACTTGATGTTGCATTCACCTCCCTCCCCTGCAGAGTTCAATTTAAGGCCCTCCTGGATAAACTTCTCCATGCTAAGGCCATGTACACCCTTGCCTTTCTTTATAAGGAACAACCCATTCCTCGCCAGCAGTATGTCTTCCAGAAAGCTTAGCCCAGAATTCAAATCATTCACATTTGTACCACCATTGTAGCCCAACATTCCTGTGGAGTATTTCCCCTCCCACATCCTTCCCCCTTTCTGCAAGCTGGAAGGATTGAGGAGAAAAGTATCTGGGCCCAATATTCTTCATTTTCTGCCCGAAGGTTTCGAAATCTGAAACCTAAGATTTCTAAATCAACTCTTGGCCACAAAGAAGGTCCTGCTCATCTGTGGTCCATTGCTGCTGCATGTGCCACACTCCCAATACAGAGCACAGTTCGGAACACAATGGTTCCACACTCAGAAGCAGAAAACGATATTGCAAGCAGAGCGGATTACTCAAGAAATTGAGCCAAGCCACAGGGAAAGGTCAAGTTACACCTGAGTGATATGAGCAGTAAATTAAGCAAAAATCACCCCCCCTTTCTGTCACACTCATTTCCTACACACACACACACACGCGTGCACGCGCGCGTGCGCACAGGCAAACAGGCCCAGCGTGTCCACCGTCATTCTCTGCCTGTCACAGAGGTACCTGCGCTGCAGAGAACCGGCCCTGGAGTTTGCTGCATAGCACAGTGACAAGGTGGAGCCAGAGCACAGCAGCTGTGCAACACACACGGGCCCTGTCTGTGCACAGGCCTTGTCCGTGCAGGTGCAGGAAAGTAAAACTGCAACGGCCAAAGGTCAGACCCACCCCCATGAGGAAAGGCTGTGTTGTCCATCAGCTGCGTCCCTTCCTGGAGAACGACTGCCTGGCGACAGCGACACACGTGCTGGTGACTGCCCGATTAGATTCCTGCAACGCGCTCGACGTGGGGCTACCCTTGAAGACGGTCCGGATACTTCAACTGGTGCAGAATAGAGCTGCCAGGCTGCTGACGGGGACGGGGCGTTATGCTCACATGACTCCAGTCCTCCGTCAGCTTCACTGGCTCCCGACTGAAGTCCAGACCCAATTCAAGGTATTGGTTATGACCTATAACGCCCTTAAAGGTTTGGGACCTGCCTATCTAAAGGAATAAGGACACAGCCGAAGCTGAAGGAAAGCGCTCCTCGCCACCGCTGCTACTTGAGCTTCCAGCGAAAGCCCTGGATCGAGGAGCACTCCCAAGCTGCGGACCTTGTCCTTCAGAGGGAGTGCAACACCATTCAGGACAAGATCAAGGTCCCCTTCCCTGAAGCCCGAGCCGCCTACCAACAAGACCTCCATCTTGTCTGGATTGAGCTTCAGTTTATTGGCCCTCATCCAGCCCATTACCTCGGCCAGGCACCGGTTCAGCACAGCCACTGCCTCACCTGGATTGGTGGAAAACGAGAGGTAGCGCTGGGTATCATCAGTGCACTGATGACTCCGCAGCCCACACCTCCTGATGACCTCTCCCAGCGGTTTCATGTAGATGTTAAAGAGCAAGGGGGGCAAAATGGAGCCCTGCAGTACTCCATGGAAGAGTTGTCATGGTGCAGAGCCAAAGTCCCCCAGCACCACCTTCTGGAATCGGCCGTTGAGATAGGAGCGGAACCACTGCAAAGCAGTGCCTCCGACCCCCAATCCCGCTAGCCTATCCGGAAGGATACCATGGTCGATGGTATCGAAAGCCGCCGAGAGGTCCAGGAGGACCAACAGGGACGCGCTCCCCCTGTCCTTCTCCCTGCACAGGTCATCGTACAGGGCGACCAAGGCAGATTCAGTACCATACCTGGGTCTGAAGCCGGACTGAAATGGGTCCAGATAATCAGTCTCATCCAAGAGTGCCTGGAGTTGTCCCGCCGCCACCCGCTCCAGCACCTTGCCCAAAAAGGTGGCCCTGCGCCACATCCAGTCACCGGTGCCAGTCCTGCCCAGGGGGCCTCACACGCCACTTGCCAGCTTTCCATGAACATCTGGCTGGCCACAGTGCAAACAGGGCACCTTTGGTCAGGTCCACAAAGCTGATGTGTTCTTAAAGACACATTGAACTATTAACGCCACGCTGAGTACCATTTTTTGGTGGAAAGGCAATGAATACAAAAGGGAGAAATGCTCATTTCCCTCTGCTTTGTTTTAGTTACATTTCTACGCATCCAGTTCTCTGGGCAGTTCACCAGTTAAAACCCTAAGAAGCAACTAAATGTTTAAAATGCTTAAAATTCCCCTCAACCAGTGATTCCTACATTTTGTCGTAAACTGCCACTGAGCAGCAAAGCACGGGTGCGAAACGGTTTCAGCCCCAGAGCCAAGCTGCAGCACTTCGAGGCGGGTGGGGTGGGAGCCATGGGACTGAAACCACCACACGGCGCTTCATCCCAGCAACCCGCTGAGCCTCATGCAGGCTTCTCAGACGTAAGGCCCCAAACAAGGGGGAGCGGAGCCGTTGGCAGAGCTCCGGGGGGCAGGCTCTGGCTCCCAGGCCCGAGGTGGTGCCCTCCTGTGCCCCCGAACAAGACCCACGCGGAGCCCCACCTCGGAGGAGAGCCTGCACGGCGGACGCGAGCCCACGGCTCCGGCGCTCTCGCTCGCACGCCCGGCACGCTGCCATGGTGCAATCCCGGGAACGTGCCACGCAGCTGCCCGGCCGCCGAGCGACCGCGCCCGGGCTGCCCGGTAGCTGCACCTAGCCCAGGGGGCTCCGTGGGAGGCTCTCCGGGGCCTCGAGCCCCGCGGGCACGGTCGCCCCGCCGCCACACCGGCGAGCGCGCCTGCCCGGGCACCCCAGGGAGCGGCCGTCCCGAGTGCGCCGAGCGGGGGCGAGCGCGCGCGGGGCGCAGCTCTCGGCAGCCTCCGCGCGAGCACCCGCCCTCGCCGCAGCCACTATTTATAGTAAGTGACGTCACCTAGAAATAGACCGCCGCCGAGGGGCGTCGGGTCACGCGCAGCCTCTCCCTGCCCCTGCGGTCTTCTGGGCTTCGCCCCGTTCTCCCCTTGCTATTGGGCGCAGGAAGCCGGCGCGGCGCAGAGTGGCAACCTCCCGACGAATCGGGGGAGGAGCCGGCCGCCGGCGCGCGCTCTCGCGCCCTCCCGCGGGCCGGCAAGGGCGGGGCTCGTGCCCTCCTGCGCCTGCGCAAGGGGTCGCCGCCGCCGTGCTCGCCCGAGGTAAAAGCGGCGTTCGCCCCCTCGCTCTTCAGAGGAGCCGCGCGAGCGAGGAAGTGAGGAGCGGTCGCCGCGAAACGAGCCTGTCCGGCGCGCCCGCCCGCCCACCCACCGACCGACCGACCGACCACCGACCGACCATGAACGACCGCGAGCAGCTGCTGCAGCGAGCCCGCCTCGCCGAGCAGGCGGAGAGATACGACGACATGGCTGCGGCCATGAAAGCGGTGAGTGCAGCCGCGGCGGGCGGCGCCCGCTCCGCCCGGCCGCCCAGATCCCCAGCCGGGCGCCCTCGGCCACGCTGCGGTCCGCCGAGCGGCCCCCGGCGCCTCTCGGGGAAGGGCGGAGGGCGGGCGCTGCCCTCCTGCTGGGGGCGGCGGGGGCCACGCCCTGGGCGAGGACCGGCGGGCGCGGCGTCCTCGGCGTGATGCTGGGAGCGCCCGGCTCGCGCCGTTGGCTGCGGGCGGCTTCGCAGCGAGCTTGCACGGGCGGGCGCGGCGCGGCGCGGCACGCCCCGGGCGCCTCGCGGGGATCCTCCCGGCGGCGCGGCGCGGCGCGGCGGCCCAGGCCCTTTGTTTTATCCGCGCGCTTCTCTCTCTCGTGCGCGGCTCCTGGAGAGGCCGCCACGGACCAGCAGGAGGGTTTTTTCTGCCTCTGTCAATTCGATACCCAGTAGTGTAAAAGCATAACTCGGTGTGTTTTTGAGCATGTATGCTTCACTCTTCGTTTTTATTGTATTGTAACATTTGGTCATAATACCATGATTTTTCCGTAATGCCTCTCATTTTCCTTTTTATTTATATTTATTTAAAACATTTTTATCGTGTCCTTTCCGAAAGGCTCAGGACAGCTTATTTTATAATAATACAATAATATAGTGATTAAAACAATAAATAATAAACATAAGCCAGGCACTTCATAAAACTAAAGAAAAGGAAAAGAAAAAAGAAAAGAATGTATTTTGAGTTCTAGTAGTTTTTCCTATTATTATGGGTTGACACTAATTCTTAGCCTTGTAAATATATGGCATCCAGTACATTTCTACACATAAATGTACACAATGTAAAAGAGTCATGTCTCTGGTACAAATGATCATGTGCATGCTTCACTTATTCTTCCAATGAATTGCAGGTTCAAGCCATCAGAGCCAGTATTCTGCCTTCCATTTCAGTTTCTTTAATGGGAAGTTAATTCCCTCCCCATGTTCTGTTGGTTAAAGCTATGGATTCTACTTCAGTATCTTCCCTTTGCATAACCTTGGAGATAGTTGCAGTGGTGGCTGATATTTGTGCCTGTCTGTCTTGCTGCATACTGAATTTTTCAGCATGAGCTACACAAGCACATTTCTGATCCAAGGCAGGCTGTTGTTGCTTTTGCTTCATTCAGCTGCTCAGCCCTACTAAAACATCCGGGATAACAGGCTTGGCATCCCTGGTCATGGCAGATAGCTTTGGTGCACCTCTCTTTTGAATATATTTTGAAGCTGGCGACTTTGATCAATTTTTTTAAACACTTCTAATTATGATCCCCAACATAATATATTGTTGATGCTTTTGGTATATCAAGGGATGGGGGGCTGCCTAATTCAAGGACATTGTTATATGTTGCTCCCACAACAAAAAGTGCACCGATCTGGATTGTTTGTCATCAGAATTAGTAGGAGAGCCTTCTCTCCGCTTACCATCCCTGCTTTGAGTTGCCAATCCAGTAATGGCCACTGGTGGTTCCATGGCATCTGAATTGGTTGCTGATGCAAAGCAACTAAGTGGGAGTAGATCACTTTAGACTTTCATGCCCACAAACTGGGTTGCTTGAACATGTAGCCTGTTAATGCCTACATTTTAACAGTGCCCCTTGTTATTTTGCATGTAATTTCTCGTTAATGTGTTGAAGCATTCGGGGGACAATCACTGCTTTGTCAGCTGCTGAACTTGGAGGCTTAAGGGCATCCAGTGCAGGATGGGAGCAGCACGGAGACGGCCTCCACTTCCTGCTCTAGCTTTTAGGTCAATGGCTGTTTTCGGCTGTCCAGTTGGAGGCACTCGGGGGGGGGGGGGGAAGAGAGGCCTCATATGCCCCTTTTATTCCCTCTCTGAGGTTGCTTTCCTGACATTGGAGAAGTAACTGGTGCACAGTGCACTTCTTTCCAGCTGGTAGGTAGGGACTCAAAATTCAGATTCCCAACTCTGAGGTTGGAACTCTTGCCCCTAAGATCTAGGAATCTGAATTATTCTCTGGCCCAGGTGTCTGTTGGCTATAGAAATTCCCACTTAATATGGGATGGACATATTGCCTTTAGTTTGTCTTGCTTGGGCAAAGTCTGCTTCTATAGCTTTTGAGAACTGCTAAAATATTTATTACAGTTCTGTATAGTAATGCTTAGGTTTAGAGTAGATATGATACTCTGGACCTAAGATGTGCAGATAGGACTGTGTCTGGCTGAAGCCAGTGGTACTCATTTACAGTGTTTATTTATATATGTATTATATTTATATGCTGCCCTATAGCCCAAAGGCTGCCTGGGCAGCTTACAATAAAAGTGTAAGCAGCCAACTATAAAAGCAATAAAATGGTAAAATAGAGCAATACAATCAGAAGTTTTATTTTAATAAAATTTATTTTAATAAAATCAAAGATGTGAGAATAAAATCCACTTAAAATATAAAATCTAATATTCATGGCAAGGAACATAATGAGCAAGCAGCAAGGTTAGCAGGTTACCAAGGTGATCTCCAAAACACGTTAAATAAGCAGTCTTTACTTAGCCCTGAAAGGCAAGCAGTGATTGCGCCAAGTGCGCTCTTCCCGGGAGGGTCTTCCGTATGTGGGTGCCATCACAGAAAAGGCCCTTCCCCTCACCGGTTCCCTCCTGGCTTCCTGGGGGGCGGGGTCAGAGAAGGCCCTCCCATGAAGATCGTCTGAGATCTGGTAGGAATATGTGGAGGCAGGCATTCCCTCAAATATCCTGGCCCCAAATCACTTGGGGCTTTGTGTGTTAGTGTTAACGCACACGCATAATGTCAGTTTGGCATATATGACCATGTTAATAATCTTAAATTAAGCAAGAGGTAGTTCTGACTGAAAGGGAAATCTTGCCTGATTTCTCTGCATAGGCACAGAAATACTTCAACGTCCAACCAGAAGTGTCAGTGTAATTCCACAGGAGTCTGTGACTCCTAAGAGTCGAAGGAAGGATTTCCCTGCCTGGACAAAACCCGAGGCAGGAGAGCTGTGCAGAGGAGCGTCTTCCGGACAGCCAGCGCAGCTGCTGGGAATATGTGCGAGGCACTCCTGTTGTCTCCTGCATTGGTGTTGCAGTTATGATCACAATGCATCCTTTCCATTTTCCTTAGTTCTTTTCAACATAGGTGCTTTTAAGCTGGACCTAATCTGTGGACCTAATCTGTGGACCTAATCTGAGAAACAGCTGACATTAACATATCTCAGTACATTTGTAGAACTGCATTCACCTAATATTCAAACAACCAGGTGTTCAGTACACAGCAGGGTGCAGGTTTCCATACAACAAGGCAGCCTACCTCTTGAAGTACTAATAGTCATATTAATGTGAGTAAAAAATGTCAAGGCGACTTCATTGGAGAGAGGTCCTTTTTACTGGATTGAATTCCTTTAGAACTCTAACAATATTTATTATCTCTCCTTTATGTTGAAATATAGCAGAATAGCACTAGCCCGCAGCCCCATTTTCACAGTATGACCTACTTCTGTGTTACTTTTGGGGAAACCAAGCAGACTCTCCCCTTGCTGCATCAGGGGGTGCAGTGAAGCCGCACAATGGTGTGCGAACAGAAGTAGGTCTTAATAGAATAAAAATGTCACATGCCAAATAATGTGCCACCAGAATGCACGCAAGGCATCTGTATCCATCTCTGGAGTTTCTAAAAGCAAGTCTAAGATTGTGCTGTGCTCTTATGTCACTGTGCATTATCACTGATATCGCCATGTTTCATCAGTAATGTGCTAACAGCCATGTAGCAAAGGCACATCATTTGTAAAACAGCGTACATTCCCAAGGGTAGTATCAACCAATATGATTAAGCAAGCAGAACTGTTTATACTTTTTAAAACCTGCTTTGAAACCCACTTTTAAAAAACATAATTAATGATACCAGCCGTGGAGTCCTAGTTAGACTGGGGCGTGTTCTAGTCCCCTTTCAGTGGTGCTGCTCACTGCTTGAGTTTGGGCCAGTCCTGGGCTCAGCCTGACCACGACTTGCAGGGCTGTTGGCTTGAGGAACAATTGGGGACGGCCATGTGAATCTCCTTGGGTTCATTGTAGGAGGGGAAAAGCGGGAGATGAATGTATATGAATGCATAATATACACATTTCTGTTTAACTGTAGATAATAATCCCTATTTAAGTGGCTACACTGTATCTGTAGAGTGTACAAAATAGTTCTTTTCTGCAAACTTTCCAGCTGCCTCCCTTTCATGTGTTGAAATGGTGGGAGAAAAGAGCATTCCATTCCCATTACATAGAGTAGTGTGTTGAAACAGAGTTGTTAAATTAAATAATCTCAGTTAAATAGTGGGACATAAGCAGTCTAAATGGCTGGGTAAGTGTTAAGCTGTCTCCAGTATACTGTACATCTTTTGGATTGATGGTAGTGCCTGCCTGCAGACATCTAAGGACGCAGTGATCACAGGGGCCCAGAAATCTTTTTTGGCTTTTTAAATAGATAGGAGTACATGTTGTATGCTTTGATTTGATTTTCTTGGTGGCATTTCTGTTGTTCCGCAACACTAGATTGCCTCAATATCTTTGTGTGCATTTGTAGGTGACTGAGCTGAATGAGTCCCTTTCAAATGAAGACAGAAACTTGTTGTCTGTTGCATACAAGAATGTGGTTGGTGCCAGGCGATCTTCCTGGCGAGTTATCAGCAGCATAGAGCAGAAAACAGTGGCTGACGGGAATGAGAAGAAGCTGGAGAAGGTGAGAGCCTACAGGGAGAAGATCGAGAAGGAGCTCGAGTCAGTTTGCAATGATGTCTTGACCCTCTTAGATAAGTTCTTAATCAAGAACTGCACTGACATTCAATATGAAAGCAAAGTCTTTTATTTGAAAATGAAAGGTGATTACTACCGCTATTTGGCAGAAGTTGCTACAGGTGAGAAGAAGAACAATGTTGTGGAAGCTTCGGAGGCTGCTTACAAAGAAGCCTTTGAAATCAGCAAAGAGCACATGCAGCCCACCCACCCAATCAGGCTTGGGTTGGCCCTCAACTTCTCAGTGTTCTACTATGAAATCCAGAATGCTCCTGAGCAGGCCTGCCTTCTAGCCAAACAAGCCTTTGATGATGCCATAGCAGAGCTGGACACACTCAACGAGGATTCCTACAAGGACTCCACCCTTATCATGCAGCTCCTTCGAGACAACCTCACTCTCTGGACGAGTGACCAGCAGGATGAGGAAGCGGGAGAGGGCAACAACTGAAGAGCTGGTCGTGCTGCGGCTGTCCATCGACTGTCACCTCATCCCACTCCTCGCATTTCTTTGCCACAACCCCACAAGTGCTTCGTGCTCTGTGCATCTGTAGCGTTGGTGCAGCCGTGAGGTCTGCCGGGTGCTGCGTCCAGTGGGCTCCATGGGCATTGCTGGGCTGGATGGCGCATCAGCCTGTTTGCCACCATGGCGTATCAGTTGTGCAGGAAGAAATGTACCATGAGGCATTTTAGTTTCATTCAGTTAATACCCAGATTCATAAAGTAACAAAGTGAGGAGAATTGATCAGAAATTACATCTTTAAATTTTCCATTCGGAAGAAAGGGAGTATGACAGTTCAGTAGTGGTGCTTGTAATGCAAAACAAAGATACTAATCTTAATGGAAAGAATATAAGGAGGTGTGAGCTGATTTTGTCTTACTTAATAACTTTAAAATGTGAGGTTCTGTAATGCTCTTTGTTTTGCCTCTTATGGGTACAGACAGGCAGAAGCATACTGAGGTTTTGATTTTGCTACCTGCCAAGTTCCCCAGTCCTCCTGGTTTTGGCAAATCATGATTCCTCCTTTTTTAAATTCTTTAACTGTTCAATTGGCTGCATTATGACAGCAATGTGTCAATGTTAGCCCATGTTAAGATGGATGATAATGAAATGCCAGACTTCTAAATTAAGTGTTTGAATTAAAAAAAAAATAAACTGCTGCTTTGGGGAGATAAACTATAAGTTGTCCATGTATTTGGAGTATCTTGTCTACTGACCGGAATTCTTAACATTTTGAAAATACAGTAAAATAGACATGTCATTCTAGGGGGGGGGGGATGTATCTAAGTTTATCTCCAATCCTTGGATCTCTTCACTGCTGCTCAGTTGCTAAATCTGTCAGCCACAGCTGGTTGATAATCCCAGATGGTAGTCTGTCAAAGATAGGCATCCTAGCCTGGTAGTTGCCCTCACAAGAGACACTGGCAGAGTAAAGGTGTTTCCAAGCTTCCCCACATTCTCAAATATTCAGTTTCACCAGGTACCATGATAACAAATATTTATCTAAACTCTTCAAAATGCTGCCTGGAATTTTAGTCACATTGCAATACAGAATCAATTTTTCACTCCAGTTTTAACAGATGCCTGACTTTTATCACTGGGGGATGAGACATTAAGGCACCAATCCTGAACAGATGTACTTTAAATCCAGCGTGGACAATTTGTAGGCCAAAAAAGAGGGCCACCATTCCCACTGTCCCTCAGCCTTGGCTGATGAGGATTGTAGGCTGAAAGCGGCTATCGCAGGCTCTACTGTCTGTGCGCTGTTAGTGCAAGGGTGCACTGCGCCTGTTCTCTCGCCACTATAGCCCATAATACCACATTTTCTGATGACATCACAGAAGCTAAGAAAAGGGGGCAGCTTCCGGGTGCATTGTTTTAAGAGAAATGGGGAAATAAAAGTAACATTCTGGTTTTTCTTGTGTGTTACATGGTGGGGGGAAGAAATCTTTGCCACGACCAGCAAGGACTTCTCACTGCCGGTTAATTACTATGTTTCTACAAGAGAAGAAAGATCCCACCACACATTGTAGAACATCTCCATTACGCAATCAGTGTGATTCAGCCAATGCATTCACTGTCAAAGCCTGATTTCTAGCATGTCTGATTTACACACATGGGAAGCAAAAACACCTCAAATTGCATGCAAAGTATATGCATACTTGAAAATGTGTGTTTAATCTAAAAAAGCCGTGACGACAGTGAAAACTCCATATGCCATAGCTACTATTCCTCTGCACTATGCTGAATTCTAATCCTTGTCAGAAGCAGCCAGTGCACACAAGGACACATCAGATACACCTGTGCCAGGAGTCTCTTAAGAACCTTCCTGGTCCCTGGAGGAGAGAGAACAGGAATCAAAGGGCATGAGCTTGATCTGTAGCACAAATGTTGACTCACGGGTGGTGTTACCCTCTGGAATCTCGAGTTTTGCTAGTCCAGGTCTTCTGGTGTAGTACCAGATGGACTGGGGAAATGTGGGGCTGCTCTGGAGAGAGGGAGTTTTGGTGGGTGAGTAATATAAATGAGCTCTGGTTCAGGCCCCCTTCCAGCAGGGCCAGCCCAATTTGTTAATCTGGATCACGGGAAGTGGTTCTTTGTTCCCCCAGCCCAGTAATGTCAGTGCTGGCTGGCAGCAACTCTCCTGGTTTTCAGGCAGGAGGTTTTCTTAGCTGTGCCTGGAGAAGCCAGGGGCTGGGCTGAGGACTTCCTGCATGCAGAGAAGCTGCTCCTCCAGTGAGCCACGGGTGGGTCGTCATCTTAGGCCTGCTTCTGTGAGCTGTGGCCCCTTGAGGCCATGCACAGGCACGGTGGCATCAGCTTTCCTAGGTGCCAGGTAGGAAAGTGTGCATTTTGTTAAACTGAGAGAGCTTTGTTATTTTAGTGATTCACTGGCAGAAATGGCTGTTCATATGTTTTTGCTTGCAACAGCATGTTGGTGTTCCTTCCCTCAGTTAAAAAAGGGTCTGCACAACTCAGAAAAAGCTACAGAATCCACAGATCAGATGAACCCAAATCTGAACCCGTTGAACCCATTGAGCCTGTCGCTCGTCTCCCTGAGTACAGCCCGCTCCACGAGATGCAGCGCGGCCCACAAGTGGTCCCGCCAGAGCAAGGCGGCCCAGGAAGGTTCTGCAGCACTTCCGCTGCGGCAGAACAACTTCCGTGCCCAGCTGGCTCTTGGGCAGTACCAGCTTGCCAACCCAACTTCCTCCAGTGCCCATCAATAACTCTGGAAAAATTTTGTCCATGAATGTATAGATGGAACTTGTGCAATGTGAATTGCAGTGTTTGTTGAAAGTGCCTTAGGGAAGGCCAATCTTAGTTAAGCTTGTAATCAGCACAGCAAGTATTCTCAAATACGGCTGCTTGGCTCAAAAATAATTATGCAGGCTGAAGAGGGCAGAACGGGAGTATTTCTCTGAAAACTAAATAGGACTGCACACTATTGATAGTGAGGAACACGTCAGTTCCTTGTGCTAGAGGTGTAATTTATTCCTTCTGCACCCTTCCAAGCCCGATGGTTTATTAGTGATGCCTTATCTTTCTGTATCCCATTACCCCACACTCCCACCAATTGCTGTTTACTTTAGAGTATATCCCCTTGACATCCTCTGGAGCATTATCATGGTAATGCCATGATGTCACTGCACTAGTCACTGTTGCCTTGGAGACAGCTTGATGTTGTACTGATGAGAGTTGCTAAGGATACAGAGCTGGCTTGTTGGGGAAAAGGGGAAGCGGTGATCATCTGAATCGTGTCTGGAAATGCTCCTAGTCAAACAGGGAGAGGTATGCACAGCAGAAATGAAATCGCTCAAAAAGAATTGTGCTGAACTCTCGCTTGCCTCGTCTCCATTAGACCGCCTTTGCCACGCTTATCCATCTGTTTTCAAGCAGAGAGCGGCATCTGCTCTGGACAATACAGTTACTGATTGAGCCCTTTTTGTCAAGTTTTGTTGTCAGTCCCAAAATGGATCACATTCTCCTCAACACTGATGAATTGGCTGTTGGTTGGAGCATTGCACAACTGGCACTCTTAAATGACATGTCGTTTTCACAAATGACATGACTTCGTCCTCGAGAAAAAGTACTGCGAGTCCCTTGGACCGCAAGGCGATCAAACCGGTCAATCCTAGAGGAGATCAACCTTGACTGCTCTTCAGAAGGCCAGATCCTGAAGATGAAACTCAAATACTTTGGCCACCTAGTGAGAAGGAAGGATTCACTGGAAAAGAGCCTGATGCTGGGAACAATAGATGGCAAAAGAAGGAGGGGATGGCAGAGAATGAGGTGGCTGGATGGAGTCACTGGGGCAGTGGGTGTGAGCTTGGGTGGACTCTGGGAGATGGTGGAGGACAGGAAGGCCTGGAGGAATGTTGTCCATGGGGTCGCGATGGGTTGGACTAACAACAACAACAAGAAAAAGTGGCATTGATACAGCCAGGAGTATTTTACTGCGAGGTAAAGCAGAGTGTCTCTGGAAATGGATTTTTGGAAGATGGGAAGAGAGGCTGACATCTGGCTTGCACAGTCCCTTAGGAGACTACAAGTCTTGCTGCACAGATCTCATCACTGCCTTTCTGCTACGTGTTCCTCTTAAGTCGTTTCAGGAAGTTCTGCATAAAGCATAAGCCTTTGTTCTGCCTGGTTGGGGTGGGGGCAGTTGCCAGAATAATGCACATGAAAATAATGCACGTTTCACATACAGAGGTCCAGTAGTTAGTTGCATTCACAACTCTTTAGGGGTGGCCAGGGTAACACATCCCATATTGCAAACAGGAGAGGCAAGTGAGGGTAGGTGAGCAAGGACTCCTGTAAGGTCACCTGCAATCCTGCCCTGTGCACATTTACTTGAGTGAGGACCAGGTGTCAGCAGAGCTTACTGCAGGGCAGCCTGGTTTAACTGGGATGCCTCAAAGTACGTGTGCAGCCTGCACGAAGAAACAGAAACACGGCGAGTCAGAAGGGGCTTCGTGGGCCATCTAGTCTGACCCCCAGCTCCAGCTGGCTCTGCTCATGACATGCCTACCATGTGCATGTCCAGCCCATCGAACACCCTCACTGAATTTTCAGAGCAGCTGAAAATAGAGCTAGGCATGGTGCATGAAAGCGTCTTAATGTAAGATGGAAAGCAGATGAGAGTAATGTTAAAAACAATCGTGCATTAGGAACGCCTTGTGCCAAGTCAGGCCCTGGTCCGTCTAGTTCCGCACTGCTAACAGTGCAGGGCCACCCTGATCAGAAGCCGCTCTCCAGCAGCTGGGCTCAGGCAGGGAATGCATCCACTCTGCCCCAGAGGCCTGGGGGTGCCTTGGCATGCAGAGAAGGAGCCCGAGCTACATCCAGCTCTGCGACTCTAAGCAACTCAGCCATTTTCTGCCTACAGAGGATGGAAATGCAAAAATGGCTGACAATGTGAAGATGTGAGATGTGAGTTATTCAGTGGGCTTCCTTCTTGGAATTGGTTCTGATCCAAAATGGTAGAAATCACATACTTCACTTTAAAGGCTATTCCTAGTTTAGAATGCCTCACAACTGAAATAGGTATTCAGGAGCAGTTAAAACACTGCATTGCAGCAGCCACCGAACAAGATGAAAGCATGCCAGCAACTAACGGTCTGTCTGAAACGATGCCTTTGCAGTGTCTGGGAAGTGAGAGGCTGCTTTCCTGGGTAAGGAGGTCCACAAGGTGGTCCCTGACTGAGAAAAGTACCTTGCATCTGGGAGATGCATCTTCCAAGCATGGCAGCTGCCCCATGCCCTGAGTGAATGCAAGGGGAATAGCAGGAGAAGGTATCCCGTGTGATTTGCCATTCACTTTGGAAGGAGTGTTGGGACAGATCAGGCAGTAACCATTTTCAAATGACAAACGAGCTCTATCACAAACATACTCTGGCTCCAGATCTGCCAATAGGCAATCAAAGGCTCACCTGAGAACATGCCAACCTGAGCAAACCTCTGCTGGCAGGGACGTTGCACCGAGATTTACATGGGGCTCCTTGAACCTTCTGTGTAAGAGGAGAAGGTTGGAACATTTTGTTGGCTTGAAGACGTCAACGCTTTCAAAGAGACAGGGTTGCCCGGCTCTCAGCCTCAGAACGCTTTGGCTTTGACCTAGGAGAGAATTGTCATTCTTAGCAGAAAGAGCTGAATAAAGCAGAATGAAGCAAAAAATG